GGGGCAGTGTTCTTACGGTGATTTTTCCTCGTTTTGACGTGTACTATAACGACTTTTAAGTGGTTCCCTGTGAATTAGGGAAGGCTTACAGAGCAGCTCATCAGTTTTACATTCAACAAGTCAGTCATATGTTGGGTTTTTTTTTAAGAACTCATCCACCATCACCCCCTTCACCTACAAGCACTTATCCCACTTCCTCCCTGCGGTTCCTGTTTCTGTGCCTCCTGCCCTCCGAGCCCTCGGAACAACGCTGCCTCTGGGTCGATGCTGCCCTTTCAGCTGAAGTGTCTGATGCTCCTCACGCGGGGCGAGTTCCTTTCAGACCTGACGGGTGACCCAAGATCATCGTCTCGGGGGTTTCCCATGTCACTAGCTGACCAGGGAGCCTGGTTGCTTTTGCGATCTTGACTTCTAACCGACACTTTGCTCCCACTCTGTTCAGGACCTCCTGAGGTGCTCCTTTGCAGAGCTGTGGGTAGCGGACGCGGGGTACCACCTAGTTCTTCTGGTCTTCAGAGCCGTGGAGGCTGATATGTGTGTGCTCCGTGAGTCCGTGGGCTTCATTGTGCCACGTTTAGCTTTGGTGCCAACTCGATGATACCAGTGCAGGAGAAAGACCGGGCTTTCTACTCCTGGAAACAGTTAGTCTCGGAAACCCACCGGCGGGGCGTGGGGTGGGGTGGCACGTGGCCGTGAGTTTGGTGTTTGGTGTGGAGGGGCGGAGTGCAGCCTGTCCATGGTCGTCACCTGGTGAGGCCCACTTGGGGGTGTGGCACTTGTATAAGGAAGACTCTGAGGAGGACTGGCCACGTGGTGACCCTTCCAGCTGTGGCCCCCTGAATCGGATGCATGTACCTCTGCACCCACAGGTCTGGGAGCTGCCAGTGGCCTGCTTCATCTGCCAGCAGCTGGGTCAGCCTGAGAGTCTCTGGCTAGCATCTGGACTGAGGGCTGGAGTTGGACTGGACTGGACTGGGCTGCTTTCTTGGTATAAAGTTCTCTCTTGTGCGTCTATGCGAGGCGTTGGCTCTGTTGCTCTAGAGCGCTCAGCCTAAGACCACCCGTCTTGATTTTCCTGATCTCTCCTCTGGACAGAGAGAGACGATGGCTGTACCGTACATGGCTTTTAAGGCCCCAGTTGCTACTCAGCCAAATAGGATGTGCAATATCATCTCTCTGGGTTCTATGTGATGCCACTGGACCTCAGTGTCCCCTGAGACCATGATCCTGATCCGCCAGGCCCAGCGACTCATTCCCCGCAAGGTGTTTGGCGGGGTCTAAGCAGCTTTCATCACTCTGCGTCCTGGCTGCGCCGCCA